AAAATGTTCAGATTGTTTTTGACAATCAACATTTGGTGAAGATTTTCGAATCATATCGTCGGGACTATGCACAGAAGAATTATAAAGTTTTTAAATTCATGTTCAAACAGAATACTTACTTTGTAGATGTAAAAGTAGTATTAATGTCTAAATTATTATTGTTTAATGGATAAACATCTTCAAGTGGAGTAGATGATAAATTAGAGCTAGCTTGTGATGAAGATTGAGTATCATTACTAACAGCTGAATGACTGTTTGAAACCAAATTTGTACTTTCATAGATTTTTCGATTTTGTTCGGTATAGATTTCAATATTCTTTTCCTTGATTAGACTACGTATTTTATTCGACAAATATCTTGTATCACGAAACATAATTACATATAAAAATCGTATTGCTCGACTATTTTTAGGAAAATTTAATTCGAACACGACATACATTGCTAGTACAAGTGCTAAACCATCATCAGGTGACGTTATTGAAACGATTGAAAGAAATCTGTAAACATCATTGATGGATATGGACTTGATGGTGACTAGAAAAAAAAATGTTCACGGTTTGCAAACCAAGAATGCTTGTGTGCTATATAGCCACAATATATTGATCGTTCTGGTCAACTCATGTGAAAACATGCTGAGACTGTTATATCATTCTACATAACTATTAAAAGCTTGTTTTCCTGTGAGATTCAAACAATGAAAACGTTAGTAATATTGGTACATCACATAAATGCAAGCTATTTTTTGAAACTATATATCTAAACTATTTCTTTCTGAAAAAGATCCTCAACTATTTATAAAAATTTTGTTTCATTAGTCCAATACGAACATTTCATCTGTCTGTTTGTAAAACATAAAAAAGATGCACCGTCTAAAGTTACAACAAAGCACTCACTGTATTGCACTATAAATGATGAACTACTTCATCGAATTGACGACAAAGCACACGAATAAGTTGTATTGGTGGAGAATCTAGATCGACATATGGTTATTTGAAATATTTTAATTCGTGTTATAACCTGTAATAAAAGCAGGTGTTGCAATAATCTTTTCAAGTAAAATTGGTATTTGACGACGTACGACAGCATGTAAATCAGCTCCCATTTTTTTCAAAAACACTTGGTGAATGTTAAAACTATTTTGTTTTACTTCAAAATCATTTTATATCGTGTAAATCTTATTCTAAAGAAGAACATTGNCTATTATGTGCCCTGTTCACACTTCTATCTAGTTGCACGAGATGTCGATTCTATAGTGCTGAAAACTCAAAATATAATTTGATTCTCATTGAAAATTAATACATTGTTGTTGTAGTACTAATATAAATTACTTGAAATATCTTTTGAGTTGTTGAATCATCGGAAGTTTTTGTTTAAAATATTAAAAGTTCTGATTTTATATCTTAAGTGAGAAAAAGGAGAAAAAGGAGGATTTTTAGGTGAAAAGGAGGAGAAGGAGGATGCATTTTGGGGAAAAGGAGGAAAAGGAGGACCATTCACATACCAGATATAGTTTGATGATTTTTAGCTGGATGTCGAGAAAAATCATCCTGTTTCAAAATAAATTTATCTTGAAAACTTAGCTGAGTAATACTGGTGAAAATTATCTAACAAGAAAAGTCTGCCAACTGACTAATCACTTTTGAGTTGAGACTATATGTGTAATATAGACTCTGATAAGTTATGAATAGACTGAAAAGAATTCGTACTATGAGCTTATTGCTGCCGAAGCTCAGAATTTTTACGATAGTTTTTATATCAAAGTTATGATCTTTCTCAGGAACACCGGAAAAACTTACTTTCGAATTTCGACTTGAAATCTTACATATAGATAGACCTTGAACATAATAGTTTATTGTTACTGTTTCAGATCTTTTTGTCAATTCTATGTTAAGATATTGCTATATGATCAAATCATGTATATATGTACATACAGCATCCATTTACAGGGATAGATTCAATGTTCTTATTTTAGGATAGCAACAAATCAAAAGACATCAAATTTTCACAACCAAACCACTTTGTCTAACTTTTATCTCAATACAAAATTTGAAATCAAAATTCGAAAATTAGCTTTCCCGGTGTGCCTAAAGGGATTCCACGGTTTCGGTTAAAAAAAAATACCCATAAAAATGTAGTATCTCGGCACCAATCAATAAACAATGCGAACTCTTTTTAGAGTGTCCATAACTCACTAGGGATATACATGATGCATATAGTCTCGATTCAAGTGATTGATTACTTGCAGAACTTTCCTCGTTTCTACTTGGTCATAGGTAAAGAGTGCTTGATTAATTCGAAGTTATGCTGATAGTATTTGTACAGAGTAGTTGTTTGAGCATGCATAAGCGTTTCATAGCCAGAATATTCAGCTACCCAACACATACCTGCAGTTACTAAATTACTTACAAATTTGTATGGCATACTGTGTAGTAGCAAGTTATCTGACAATGCCAATATACCGTATTGTGAAATCAGTACATTCACTAGAGTAGTTATTATTAACAACAATGTTTGGCTTTACTTTCTTTTATTTTACGATTTCGGTTCTGGTTTAAGATAATAGAAATAGAAAAATTCGAATTCAGATTCGTTTTGGAATCATTAGAGTCTATTCAACATAATTAGTTTCTATTTCCTTCAAGAAATTCTTTTTCTTATTGTTTTAAAAAAATCTGCTTAAAACTAAATTGAACAACACTAAAAATGAAGAGTATTGTCAAATTTAATGAGCTTCTTTTTCATGATTAAGTACTAATGAAATAAAGATTTATATAATATTTTGTTTTTCTAATTAAAAATGACAGAATAAATGATTATATATATTGAAAAATATTCTCGATGATATTTATACAAGCAACAAAAACAAAAAGATTTCACGTTATTATTAAATTCATGATAATATTAACAGTTTAATCAGTGGAAGAGAAAAAAAAAAGAAACATTTTCCTGTAACAAAAAGCTACTTGGAAGAAATGAATATGTTCATTATTTCGATCAAATCCTAAAAAGAAAAAGAAAACAATCAGTTATAAAAGTATGCATTATTAGTCAAATAATTTAATAGATATAAAAACATGAGAATCAAAAGTGCGATGCAAAATCACATGCTAAGAAATCCGATATAGAAAAGAAAAGAAAAATTAAATCTATTTTTTTTTATCGAATATTTATATATATTTGAGCGTAAAAGCAATATCTTACATGAAAATGTCTGAAAAAATTTAGCCGGCACTACTGCCGATGAATTATTCCTAATGAAGTTAGTCATTGATATCAAGACAACAAATACAATACAATGTAAAACTTACTGGCTAAAATGTTGTTCAGCTTTCGGATCAAAGACGATTAGAGATATTGATGAACCAGGACCGATTTTATCTAAAGAGAAAAAAAAAACAATACCAAAAGATTTAAATTAAGTAATGAACTTTGAAAATCAACAAATTTAATCCACTATTGAAAGTTCTTAAATATATTTGTTATTATATAGAACTGAAATAATTAAATCACATTAGTTTAATGATACAGACTCGCTCAAAAAAATCGATGGTTCACTGTAGGAAAAAAAAAGGAAACTTACATCAATCTATTAATACACTGGTTAGAAAAATCATGTCTGTTCCTGCTACACCTATACCAGCTGAATGTTTGTTTTTGCTCAAAGTTGTCGTCTATAGCAGTAGATCTAGAATACTATCGTCCGTCTTGTTGTGGAAAAGGTAATGGGAAGAGTGCAGCTAATTTATTGATACCATACATTCCTGATAACATGATGCACTTAGCGAATGCGCTCTCTGGCACTACTTACGAGGAAAGGTTCCCAACTGATCAATGGCTTTTACGTTGAGACTATGCGCATTATATAGGTGCAAAAGAGTTATGAATACTCTGAAAAAAGTTCGGGCTGCTAGCTTATTGCTACGGAGATACTGCACTTTTACGGTATGTTTTTAAATGAAAGCTGTGGTCCCCCTCAGGAACACCAGAAAAAACGATTTTCGAATTTCGACTTGAAACTTTACATATAAACAGACCTTACTCAGAATAGTATTTTGTAAAAGTTTCAGATCTTTTTGTTGTTGTTATCGGTAGATACAACTATGATAATGTCATTCAGATAAACCAAAAGCTTTGATGTTGTCATTTCAGGATAAGAACAAATAGAAAGATCTGAAAGTTGCACAAAATACTATTCTCGGTAAGGTCTGTTTATATGTAAAGTTTCAAGTCAAAATTCGAAAATTATTTTTTCCGGTGTTCCTGAAGGGGACCACAGCTTTCATTTAAAAACATACCGTAAAAGTGTAGTATCTCCGTAGCAATAAGCTAGCAGCCCGAACTTTTTTCAGGGTATTCATAACTCTTTTGTACCTACATAATGCACATAGCCTCAACGCAAAAGCGATTGATCAGTTGGGGACCTTCCCTCGTTGGTCAAAACAAAACAAGAGGTGTGCTGGTGTTCTAGTTTCGCCGTTAGTAGGATACGAAAAGAGTTTACCCTGCACATCTTTACTTTGAATTGTAATAAGACTTTAATTTAAATGTTATTAAATAGTTATTTGCTGTTTATAAATTTGACGAATTTTTTTACTATTTTGTGAAATTTTATGAAAGAGAAGAATTAATTTTATTGTCCTTGATTTGTTGATAAGGTTATAGTAGTTGCGTTATTTTATTTTATTCTTAATGTTCTTTATAAAACAACAAATAGAAAATGAGAAATTGACGAAAATAATTTGATTCGATTTGAAAAGTGACTAGATTTTTCTAAGTTTGGTTAGATAAGTAAAATTTATAAAATCTTAATTATCTTTTACATACCCGAAACGAATGTTTTAGGTATATCAGGAATCATATCAAGAGAAACTGGAGGCATGCCAGCATGTAAGGCACGTGTTACAGGTCCAAATGTAACATCCCATGTATCTAAATTGCCGATTTTTTGAGGAACATAAAGTGGAAAACGACAATGTCCAAGAGTAACCAAATTCACAACTAAATAAAAAAAAAAAAAAAATTTATATATTTTTAAATGATAATTATCACTTATACTATTCACTCGTTGCCGAACAACAACAAGTGCTTGAATACGAGTAGGCATATGTGATGTACGAGCTTCTTTAATTGATAAAATTAATTTATCGTTTGGTATATCAACAATAATTCTTTGCCAATTATTTATTGCTGGTTCTTTTCCGCCTAAATAATATTGAAAAATAACTTTTATTTATTTAAAAAAAATAATTTAATTAAATTCACATACGAAGTACAGGTAATGATCCAGTTGATACATCATTTATTTTTTCGCCAGCACTATAAACTTGAATTTCAACTATTATTGATTTTATATCAAATTCTTGTCGAGATCCTCCATTCTAAATAAATATTAAAAAAAAAATATATATATATATAAATTACTTCTAAACAATAAAATGCATACAATAACAAGATTAGCAGGTATAGCTAATGTTAATGAAATCTCTTTAATACCAATTGTTTCTAAATAAGTTTTTCTTTTATTTGGAATTTGTCGATTATTATCTTGTCTTAGAATGACTGGTTTTGATGGATAAAATCGTTGATTCATTGCTGGTATAAATTTTGGATCTTCATTTTTTAAAGCAAGATGAACAAATGCTGCTTGAACATCTGCTGTATGTAAAAGACAAGGTTCATCAAGAAAAACTTTTCGCATTTGATCATAATCTATTGTATACATAAAACGATCACGAAGTAAATAAAGTATTGCTTTTGTTGCATGTTCTATATATTGTGTATCCCATTTAATCATAAAAAATTGATCCCATAAATAAAGAGCTGAATTTGTATTGAGAATACCAAAAAACATCTAAAAAAAAACTTAGATTTGAAATTATCCAGACAAATATAATGTCTTTTTATTTTTTTGACATTAAAACAGTTCATAACGATGCTAAAAAATCAAATAACTATTGTTTTAGATGAATTTTAAAATCTAGTAGTAATCTGTGACCCAGTCAGAGTTTTAGGATAAAGGTGACTTAACTCCTTGCTATGAGCCTTTGCGCTCCCTGGCTCAGCCACTGCTTGTACCCACCCCCCCCCTCCCTCACACAAAAGTATTTTATCTAGGATTTGATTCGCTTACCAGTATAGAAAGACATTAGATTCAATAAAATGTAGTTTTCAAAACAATCTGAAAACTTTCATACGAGATATGATTGCTACCGACGAACAAAACATTGATTGCTATACTTTTTCAGCTAATTCGAGTGATGCGGTCATTACACTATTTTTCTCATTGACATGTTCATCATTCATCATCACTTCGTAAATCTTCATATAAATACATTGGTTCGAGGAGAAACTATCGAACTTTAGAGAAATGAAAATAAAACTTCTATCATGCATATTGTACTCATCTCATTTTTGTACTTTCCTTTTGCTCGATAAACTCTCATTTTTCAGTTAAAGATCTGTTCATATTTTTATCAATTTAATAAAAGTTTATATTATTTCATTTCTAAATTTTACATTATACAATCACAGTATAGTAATAAAGCATGTCTATTTCCCATTTGTCCGTGTCTGAACACTTGTCTCCCATCCATGTTCATACATACTCCCTCGGACAAAAAAAACGCCCTTTTTCCATTTCATTTTTGCATCACTTAATAAGTTGTTTTAGAAAAACAAAATATACCAGGAGATGCAGCGTGAAAAGAACTACAATGTGCAAAGTAAAGCTTATTTTAATTTTGTACTTTTTGTTTTCAAAAGAAGCAAAATTGTGTGCCAC